GAGTCTCCGCTTAGAAAAATTATCCTTGTCTTTGTTTATGTCTCGGGTTGGAGCAAATTATTAGAATTCGTCCCCGTCGACGTATTAGTCGACATTTTTCACAAATTTTACGAGCGGAAGCCCTTATCTTCATATTTTTCATTCCTTAATTTTGAATATACATACTTTTTGTGAAGAAAAAAAGTTTCGTTAAATTTTGAAATCGTAAATTGTATTCCTATAAAATATAAAAAATAAAAGGAATGTTGAAGTTGAAAAAATTACCTAATCATTCGAATTTTTGTTGGGGAGTCTATAAATTAGACGTTTTCTGGTCGAATCATAAGCACTTACTTCTATTTTGACTCTATCTCCTGATGGTATACGTATAAAATCGCGTCAGGCCTTTTCTGAAGCATAATCTAAAACCATATCTTCATTATCTAATCTAAACGAATCCCTAACATATTATTGGAAAGTTATTAAGAAATTAAACCTTTCTGAATCCCCCTTTTTTTTTTTCTATCTAAAAGCCTCTTGAAATATCAGCTAATCTAATGTAGGAGGAATGATATTAGAAATCTGTTCTTTACTTTTTTTTTTCACAAATAGGGGAAGTTCGGATACAATTTGGATATCGAAAAGATTACCATATATAACACAAAATTTCTCCACCGATTCTTTCTAGTCGAGCCTCTCGGTCTGTCATTATACCCCGAGAAGTAGAAAGAATTACAATCCCCATTCCACCTAAAATTCTCGGAATTTGTTGATAGTTAGAATAGATTCGTAGACCAGGGCGACTGATGCGTTTTAAATTTAGACTCGTTCGACATGGTCCTTTCCTATTTCTTCTATGTCGTAGGGTTAAAGTAAAAAAAAAAAAATCGCCTTCCTGGTGTTTCCTCACATTTTCAATAAAACCTTCTCGTAAAAGTATTTTAATAATGTTTTCGGTGATGTTAGTAGATGGTATTCGAACGGTTCCTTTTCTATCCATGTCCGCATTTCGTATAGAGGTTATTATGTCAGCAAGAGTGTCCCTACCCATGATAAACTAAAATTTTTGTTGCCTCGTAATTTTGATATAATCAACATACTTTGTTTTCATTTTTTTTTTTTTATTAATTAATTATTTTTTTTTATTAAATATTCATTTTTATTAAAGGTATATGCGTGAAACACAATCTACTAATTAATTTTAATTTAATTGATTTCGTTCAAATATCAAATATTATAAATTATGGTTTATATCTCATCTTATATTTTATAATGTTCTTATAATGCTTTATTTTATAAGACTTCAGGTGCTAATGAAACTATTTTAGTGAAATTTAACTGTCTCAATTCCCGAGCGATTGCACCAAAAATTCGAGTTCCCTTTGGATTTCCTTCTTGATCAATTACAACTGCAGCGTTGTCATCATATCGTATTATCATACCGTTGTCGCGTTTGAGTTCTTTAGAAGTACGCACAATTACAGCTCTGATCACTTCAGATCTTTCTAGAGGTGAATTGGGGACTGCTTCCTTGATCACAGCAATAATAACGTCGCCGATATGAGCATATCGGCGATTACTAGTTCCTATGATTCGAATACACATCAATTCTCGAGCTCCGCTATTATCTGCTACATTCAAATGGGTCTGAGATTGGATCATATTCTTTTTTTAATCTGTTATTTCAATGGAAAGGGGCAAAAAAAAGAAATATTGTTTGTCCAAAAAAAAAAAAAAAAAAAGAAACTTGCAAATTTTTTCCTAACAAAGGCCTTTTTCTTTTAGTTCTGTATTCCTATCTCAAAATAATGAATTGAGTTCGTATAGGCATTTTGGACGCTGCTATTGAAATAGCCTTTCTGGCTATATTTTCTGCTACCCCGCCCATTTCATAAATCATTCTACCCGGTTTAACGACAGCTACCCAATATTCGGGAGATCCCTTCCCCGAACCCATACGTGTTTCCGAGGGTCTTAGGGTAACTGGTTTGTCGGGAAAGATACGTACCCATATTTTTCCACCGCGGCGTACATTTCGTGTCATTGCCCGACGCCCTGCTTCTATTTGTCTAGACGTAATCCAAGCAGGTTCAAGTGCCTGAAGAGCATATCTACCGAAACAAATACGATTGCCTCGAGAAGATATTCCTTTCATTCTTCCTCTATGTTGTTTACGGAATCTGGTTCTTTTGGGGTTATAGTTGATGGTTGTTTCGCAATTCCATCTCTACTGCAGAACCGGACATGAGAGTTTCTTCTCATCCAGCTCCTCGCGAATGAAATGATTAGGATTGATTATGATTAAAAAGAAAATATACATAGATATTGATATTTCACTTAATCTATTTATTAGATTAGAAATTTGTATATTTTTTATTTGTCTATCTTATTATTTGTCTATCTTATATAGATAATTATGTATTCTATTTCTATATAGTATATAGAAATTCATAGAGAATTCTAAATTTATAGATAATTATTTCTATTTTTAGTTTGAGTCTATTTTTAGATAATGTTCTTT